TGTGAGAGGAAAAAGATGCTGCTGAAAAGCAAGTCGTTGATTGTGGTGGAATTTATTATATTTTCCGTCTAAAGATTATAAGAAGTGTGATTTTTTATGTAATTATACTTAGAATCATTTATGCAAGTGGAAAAAATATTTAGAATTAAACTAAATTCCTGGTAGTAATATAACTAACTACCCCGGATAATCATGATATTATGGAAATAACGTTTTCAAGTATTTACCTATATTGACTCCCAATTTTAATTAACATATATCACTTAATTAAAAATGTTCATGAATCTATTTAGCGTCCATTTTTCGGCACCCTTTTATTATTTTTTAAAAACTCTTGACAATAATTGAAATGGATCTTACATGATGGATTTGATACTAATAGATTTGTTTAAAGATAAGTCAAATTAGTGTGACATGTTTCATGACACAAATTCATCATAACGTTAAATGCACCGTTGAAATGATAATTGATGCCTAACGAGACAGCTTTTGTACTTCATTTTAAGTATCACCATGCAAGCACATGACATACTTGATGCTTTTCACATTCTGAGAGAGTATGAGCCTCACTCCGGATAAGAAAATCACAGCTACTCATCATTGAGAAAATCTCAGGGGCAAGTAGGGCAAGTGATATGCAAGTGACACCCTTAACAACCTAGACATCCTAAGGATTGTCGAGTGAAGAAGGCTTACTTATATTGGGGAGCATTCAACTTGGACAACTTGCTGCAGCCTCCCGATGGTTGTAGTTAATTACAGATGTGAATTCCACCATTAATCCTTGACATAATCTTCAACACAATACTATAATGCTCCCCAGCAACAATGTCAATGGGTGTTGATACCTGTCACTAACAAGTAGGTAACAGGAGTTCTACTACTCAAAACAAGATGAAGGGTTGCTAAATTCTCTCCTTGATGAATAAATTTTTTTGACTAGTTCATGAAGGTTGGAGAATTTTGATAAAATTCCCTTCACCAAATTAGGAAATGTTGCTACATTTCACCTTCTTATTGGGGAAGTTCAAAAGTCAGAATTTTGTACATCATACTCTGAGCAAAATAGTAAGGTCGTGGTTGGTTTGCCGTTTTCGGCACATTTTCCGTTTTTCGTTTCCGAAAACGCGGAAAACATGTTTGGTTCATCGTTTTCAAAAACGCATTTTCAAAAACGAGTTAAAATTTATAACTGAAAATGCACAACGACTTTTTATTATTTTTAGCGTTTTCAGTTGTAAATGTCGAAAAAACTCAAAACACAGAAAACGGTCCGTTTTCAGGGAAAACTAAAAATCGTTTTGAAAATGAAAATGGAAAATGAAAATGCAAACCATCCACTACCTAAATTTTATTAACATTTTCAAAATTTTTGAAATTTCTACCTATAATAGATCATATCGGGATGAACTCTGTAAATACAAGTGACTTATATTGCGCAAATGATAATATTTTTACTATATATGCTAAAATTCACTGTAACCACCAATCAGGGTCAGAGATATGAGTTGATTGTTCTATTGAGACATGAGCTACATGGATTACGACTAAGTTAATGCAAAAGGTAATGAATTACAATGAAGAGACAAAATTTGGTTGAAATGGAGGCCGGCATCCTAGTTCTCGTTCGGAGTGTAGAGAATGCATCGTGCCATAGTTGCCTGTTTGGAGTGCCACGAGTGAATTTTCTTTTAACTTTCTGATTTTTATTTTTCACAAAAACAAACCAGTGTAAATATAATAATTGTAGGTGTCAGCCATCCTGATGCCCATTCTTTCTCGGCCAAAATTTCTTGTGTCAGGTCGCATTTTGTGGATGGCAGGACTAGGTCTCTGACAGGCCTCTCTAAAGACAGGATCTGTGCTGAATGGAGATGTAGCGTTAGCTTTATCCTATTGCCCATTGTTTCACATGATATTATTACAAGAATAGTTATCTAACGTATGATTCTAAAGGTTTCGCAATTTCTACCTGAATGGATTTGTACGAGGTTCAAATATTGAGCAAATGTAGAATTAGTTACTTGAAGATGGCTGATGACTCGCTAAACCTCTTTATGTATGGTGAGAGATCAAGGAGTTACTATTGGATGGTGAGTATAAGAACCGTTGAACTTATCGAAGTGGAGGAACTTGCCAAGCGTGTGTATACATTATCGGTGTTGGGTGTTTAATTTTAGGGATATGTAGATGTGAAAATACAACCAGTTCACCGTAGTCCAATTCCTTTCGGATGGATAGAGAGTTTAAAAGATGTCATACTAAGATAATTTTTTACTAATTTGACAAATTATTTCACTAAGGAAGCTAGCAAGAGAATACGCCTCCTCTATAGAATACTTGAACATTGTATAATTTTTTTTTTATGGGAAAATATTTCATTCATTAAGGTAGTAAACCTTAAGAAATGGTACAATAGTGTTTATCAATGAAAATTACATTTTCAATGAATAAAGGAACACTATTCCACCAGAGGATCATGTCTTCAAGGGACCATGCGTGTCGCGCCACGGAATGTGCTGCTTGGTTACATAGTCTATTGCAATGCTGAAGGTTACATTGAGAAAATCTCTGCATTAACTCTTTTATTTTGGCAACTTGAGATCGGATTGATGAAGAGGACGAGCTTGACTTATTGACTTCATTGACAAGAAACAAACAGTCACTTTCCACCACTAAGTGAGATATTCCAAGGTTGAGGCACAGTTGTAGGCCTCTAACCAGTGCATGAGCTTCAATGTGTTCCGGCTCCAAAATTGTGTTTGCAGGACCACTAGCAGCCAAAATTGTTTCTCCTTCTCGATCCCGTAAAATGATTCCAATCCCAGATTTATTTGAGTGACAAAATAGCACGCCATCAATGTTGAGTTTTAATGCTTTCTTAGATGGTGCGAACCACCTATATTTGTGGAGAAGCAATCTAGGGGAGTAATTGAGGGGTGGACCTTTTTCAGCAGTTAGTTTTTTGGCTAAAGCGGTAGCAATTACTTGTTGTGGTGGAAGGTTCAGCTGGTCATGAACCATTTTGTTTCGA